GGTCTGCGTCTCCAAAACGTTTGTCAGCATGGGTCAAAGTTTCTCCCAATAAGTCTGTTTTTAAAGATAACAAATTTTGCGTGGGAAGTGGAGTACGCCTCTTTCAGGCCTAGTTTTGCACAAATGAAATGTTTATAAATGAGACCGCAGGGTCATTGGCATGGAGTCAACACATGGAGGCAGTGCTGGACCTAGCACATTCGGCACCATAGTCAGGCTTCGTAGTACTTGAGTTCTCAATCTCAACCCCAAGCCCAACGAGTCCCAAAAAGCCCAACAAGTTGGACCAGATTCAGTATTTTATGATGATCTCGGCTTCTGGTTTGAGCTTCAGCTCACTTGGGTCTGTTTGGTTTGGGTTGTAATTTTTCCAGCCTGTTGAGATCCCCACTTAATACTAGAAATTGTACTAATAATAATGATGGCACTTTGTTAAATACATTTATGATTACATTTTCTGTTGTGGACGGTGGTGTGTGGTTGCCTGTCATAGCATAGCATTTTTTAAATGTATATTTTCATCAATATCTCCTCCTGAGACCCAAACTTTTGTTTGGTATTCATTAATTTCTCCTAGCTATTTAGCATCAGTAGGACCTGTATCTGTACATAAAAAAACCTAAACATTGTCAGTGATAATTAAGTCCCAGTGTCCTCAAACGAGACGATAATAAAATCCCACTGTCCTCAGACAAGTACTTCCTCATTAACAGGTCTTAGTTTGTTACTGTTCCTAAAACTGGGCAAATTTGTTGTCATATCAAACTACAAACATTATTTATCATAAGTTTCAACCATAAAATGTGATCAGGTTTTGGACCTTGTCGACTTTTGTGTCTGGATTGGCTGCAGACTGACTTGGCAGAGATGGCTGCCATCTTGTTTTTACATGGATAAGTGCATTGTGCACTTACTACGACTAGTTGGAGCAAAAAAGCGTCCATGAACAAGGACAAGTCTTAGTTATGCAGAATACAGTATAAGGTCAAGTAAACCCAACATGTGATGTCCTCATGCCAAACTTGACAACATGAACATTTTAAACGGCTCCTTCTGTGTTTCCTGTTGAAATGTTTTGCAGTGTATGTGAAGGACATCAGAGCTGCGTTCAGCCTGGACAAAATGCAAAACATTTGTTTGTTTAAACAAAAATGGTCGTGTGTTAAACACCCTGTTGTGTGAGGCAAGCGCACTGCCCTTTAGAAAGGTGGGGTTTAACTCAGTTCAATTTAAACAGGCTTTATTGGCCTGGGAAACATGTTTACGTCACCAAAGCAAGTGTGAAATATAAAAGAATATAAAAGTACAACAGCAACTAGACATTTATTCATACACATGTGGCTGCTGACTGGGTAACTTCTCTGACACGCCCACCAAACGAGAGGAAACGTACCTTAGAGCTAGTTGGAAACCAGGAACCATAGCAAAACTATGCAAAGTGTTCTGACATTGAATGTGCCACTGACAGGACGTTAACATGGACCCAAGCTGCAATGCAAGGGGGCATTGAGCATATTTGAATAATGAAGAGTGTGTGTGTCCCCAGTATATAACTACTGCCTTGTTACTGACCCATCCAGCAGACACAAAGCAACAATGGTATTCTTTTGGAATTGTGTCACAGGCCACCTATTTTTCATTTATATATGTTTTATTTTGAATTCACAAAAGTCACAAGATGCACCGTGAGTTCATGTACAAACCACACTTGAAGTATATTGACAAGATAGTGTAATATAGAATGCATAAAAAGTGATCTCAAGCATGCCTCAAGCACAAACTGTCCTTATTTAAGATATGGTTCATTTTTTATTTGGCTCGACTAAATTTTGACAACAGCATGTCAATAAAATACAGTGTGTTCAACTCAAATGAAATTAAAGTAAAGGGGGGGGTCAAAATTGGAAATTGTTTGCTCAAGGTGAAAAAAATTGTGTGCCTTTCACTGCCCTCTTCTGGGAATGTCTTTTATTGATTTACAGTGCAGCAGTCTGAACCTGGAGGCTGAATAATATAAAGTTTTGTCTGAGGAGCTGCATCGGCTGTCTGGTAACCTCACTAGGTGTTTTGGACTAACACAACTCACCCATTCAAAAACACACACATCCTGTGGGCAGCAGCCAACGCTACAGCGACGCTTTCCAGGCCGAGTACATCTCCCACAAATGATAGCAATAGTAATGTTATCGTTCCAAAATACATCAATATCTCAGCCAAAAGTGAACATGACTAGACAGGTCTGTCTGTTTCTCCTCAGATATTTGGTCTAAAATAAGAGCAGGAACTCTCACTGCAGCAAATCATTCATCAAGCCCAGGACAGATTAGGTGTAGTATTTTCTTTGGCTGCACTAAAGTAGTTTAGGTCATATGGATTGATTTCACTTGTGCCTGCCTGTACACCTTCTCGCTGCGTATCTGTGTACACAAAACAGAGACGGTAGATTCCATAGCATGTCTGCCATCTGTGTAACGCTTTGAGTGAAGCAGAACTTTAAGATAATGGATAATACTTTCTCCTGGCCAAGTGGGTTTCTTGATTGTCGGGCCTGAGGTTTCATATAAATAGCACTGGACACTTTCCAGCAAGGATGGAAAAAGTGGTTGGGGCTCTAGGCAACTGGTTTCATTGTGCTTTTTTAACCCTTAGGAGCGTGGAGCTTAGAGTGGTTAAATAAAAGACAAGAAAGGGAAGCAAAGCAAGAGATGTGACTGAGAGCTGCGCGGCATTTATCAAAGAAAAATAATCCACACGTGTCCATGTGCAAGTTTTTGCCGAATAAGACAAGCACACCTATTTTTAGCCTCATTTATGGAAAGAAAACTTTACGTGACTGGAGATCTTAAAGCTGCCATGAAACCTGCCCTGTCTCGCTTGCAAAGGGAGCTCGAACTGTGCATGGAGTTACCAAACAAGATGAATTCCCAACCTCTCAGAGGCACACAAAAGAAGAAAAAAAAAAATGCAAGGGGAAGGAGGCAAGAGGAAGGAGGAGGGAGGGCGACAAATTAAATCCAGTTAAATTGTTTTTCCATAGCCAGTGGGCTTGGCAAAGGACTCTCACACACGCACAAGATGTAAGATAAGTTGTAGAGAAGACAAACCAGAAACAGTGTGGCTTCAGATGTAAGAGAATGCCTGGAATTTAACCCACTTTCCCATGTCTGACTGACACCGCGCCCACTGCCCTGCCCCGCAGCCCAGCGTGTCCGCACAAAGGCACACAAACAGCCGCGCCGCTTTCAAACACACGCAGGTGATTCCATAGATAGACAAACCTTGTACATCTGCCCTGCTCAACACTCCCTGTTCTCACCCCGTTACAGCTGTAATCAATTGCAGCCCTCTCAGATGTGTGGTACAGTACATCAATAATCCAAGGCCCCACACTCTACTTCCTCCTCTATTACTGTAAAGCCTGTCTGGCATTGGGATCACAATGCAGTCATTGCAGAGGAGAGCTGCAGTTCTAGCCCAATTTTGAAGCAGCACTAAGGCTGGCTAGCTAGCAGACATATTTGGGTCATGTCTTCCTCTCCGAGAACTCCCAAGTCCGTGAGCTCCTCTCCCTTGCCTGCTGCTCTCCACCACAACATGGAGAAACCTCAGCTCAGCACCAACAGAGGGAGAGAGAAAGGGGGTGTGGGGGGGTATGGTATGGTATGGCCAAGAATAGCTTGCTGAACTAAAAAAAAAAAGGAGCTAAAGTTGGGACAGTATAGACGGGCCAGGTGGTGATGCTGACAGGAGAAATAAGGACAAGCATCCCTGCATTTGCATCACACCAAACAAGAAGACGACGACAGTGGAAAAACACACAAAACACAGCATGGATCACTTTCTCTGTTGACATTCTTTATAAAATGGAATACATTCAGATCTGTCAAGTGACAGAAGGACAGCGTTATAATCAAAAACATTAATAAATAGTGGATGTGATTTTGTGAGGCCAGAGTTCGCCCGTCCACTCTGGTGTCAATGGCGAAGCACAGCTGGCTCCTCTCCACAGAGGCAAAGTACATGTAAGTGAGATAAACCGACTCGTAGTCACCGAGACGAAACTACTCAATCCTAGACATTAAATTGACTACAGCTGAAGTGAGCAGTGTGGCACTGTCCCTCCCTTCCACAGACGGTATATAAAGATGGAAGAAGCGTCTCCACTTCCTTCAACTGTACAAAAATGAAGCCAAAATATCCTGGATACAGGTGGTGCCATCTTGCACTTTTGGAGCCAGAGTCTGTGCAGTAGTGATTGGGAAGTGAAGCTGCAGTATCAAGGTCCCGCCTGACTCAGCACCATTGGCCCAACTCACTCGCGAACACGTCAATTGACACACTTAAATCAACATAAATCAACTCGATAAGAATGACCTAAAATGACAGAAACCATTGTTAGAAAAAAATCTGACGCTACTTTGAGCTCTCAGTTTAGACTATGTCCTATCTGCTAACAGAGGTGGCTGGGTTTGTGGCATCTACTGCAGCCAGCCACCAGGGGGCGATCAAGACGTTTTGGCTTCACTTTTGAGCAGCTGTCATGCCCTCCATCTTTATATATAGTCTATAGAGTGTGCCAGTAAACCCGGAACTCTGTTAGCGCTTTTAGCACTTCCGGTTCTCTCGTCTAAAAGTCAATACGTTTTTTGAATGGGATTTTGGTAAAATGCCTCTAATAAGGTCTGTGGTTAACAAAAGCTTAAGCGAGTTTCAGGTTTTGTTCAACGACATAAAACACGTCAGTAAATACCCTACTTGTGAATTTTGAAGCTTTTATGTGTCGTAAAAAAGGCGGTTGCTAACAAGTTGCTCAATACGAATACAAACCCTGTCGGGGACATTAAACGTCATCACCCCCGAACAGGCGAGAGTGCTGGCAGTCCGCCATTACAGCTTCTTATTTAGCTTAAACAGACGATTTCTCCATTATACAATGTTTTTAAAATAAAGCGGCCGAAATCAGTTGAAAGCTTAGTGGCGGTGACGTCAAGAGTCATACGACCGTGGAGTAGTCATGTAGTCTGTTAAAGCCTAACATTAGCTTTTTACTTCTGGCGATCGCATTTAAGCTTCAAATGCAGTATGAAAAGTGTTCATATGTGAAGATTATCTGGCTGAACAAAACCTTTAAGTATCATAATCTTGTGTTAGCCACAGAGCTTATTTTCTGACATAATCCAAAACGCAATGTAAAAATCACATTCACTTTCTCTTCCGGGAACCACTGCGATGCTAAACTTCTGGGTTTTGACGTCAGCCCTGGCACACTCTATACTACCCGCAGTCAAAACGATCATTTCTTCTGTGAGGGTCTGGTGGGGCAACTGTTTAAAAGATATTCAGGTCTTTACTTTTTTAAGGTTCAACTGAAATCACAACTATTGTATGTTTTTAAGATCATCATCAAATCATATTAAATCAAATTTATTTATAAAGCACTTTTAAAAAACAACCAGAGTTGACCAAAGTGCTGTACAGTAAAATTAAAGTTACTAAATTAACATACCATGGTAACCGCAAAGAGTAAGAGAAATAGCATAACAAACCCCAAAAACATGCTCAAATCCCCAAGTATAAACTAAAATAAAGCAAAGATCTAAAAGTAAAATATGAAAGATAAAACCTTGAAGACAATCAGAGGTCTTTCATGTGAGAGCAATTTTTAAATGCATTGCCAATATTCTTTAAAACATTGAAGGAATTAAATATGTAAGATACGTACATCAGAAATGCTTCTTTAGTCGGTGTAGGTGTTTGATTCACAAGTGAGTGGGCAGAGCAGCAAACGCAGAGAAAACAATGCAAACAAACTTCTGTTGGTAACCCTAGTTACTAGCTAAGGACAAATATTTTGTTGGCAAGTGTATTGACGAGTAAAGATAACAGCATTTTGCATCCAAACTGTCCAATGTTTCCATTTACAGGTACGTTTATAAGCTATTAAGCTAACTAGCTGGCCTGCTAACTGATGTTAGCATGGCCCTCACTCCGTGACAGATGCATGCTTGTTTGCTAAGCTAGATATGTAGAGACTTACAGAGCAGATCTGTGTTTCAGTTGGACCTTGAAGGAGCTCAATGTGAAATTCAGAGCATATGAGCTGCACATGGTTCTCAACATGGAGGTGGCTGAGCCGGCGGCTGGAAGCTGACGGTGCTAGCTCCATAAACAGTGCTAAACAACAACAATGCTGACAGAACTATTGGTGTCAAAGCTTCCGCAATGATGCCAACCTGATATCAGTGGTAAACGCCACATGAGTGCAGTGTAAAGCGAGGCAATGAGCTAGCCAGTAGGATACAGACATGCACCAACATGCATGTGCAGCCAGACGGGCTTACCACAGCAAACCACAGAGAAGCTCGGATTAAAACACACAGAGGTAGCATGACTTTATTCTATAGTGGTTTGCTGCTATACTAATGCCCTGAATGTCACATACAGAACCTTTAAAACAGTCCATTGAAATAGGTACAACAACCTTTAAAGATAAACTTCATACATGAAACGACTGTATATCAATTTTGAGGTGTCACGGGTGCAATAGATGTGGCAGTCATATGGCTGTTACTGATGTTCTGATGTAACTGATATCACTGTCCTGATGTTCTTGTGCCTGTACCATAAGCCAAGGACTTGGAGCTGAGTTATACTCCAGGGTTGGTGCCATGTCTCTAAGCAGAGATTAAGTGGGGACAGCGGACTGAGAGTGAGACAGACAGGGGAGACTCTGAAAGAGAAAGACAGACAGAGACAGAGGCAGAGATAGATGGAGGTAGAAACACGGAGAGGCTGTAAGAAAAAAACAGAGTAAGAGAGCACAGAAAGCTGCTCTGCCACACAACACAGAGCTGCTGATGTCTGCTCCCTTCCTATGCACCCTTGTTCAATCTCCCCTCATCAATCTAAGAAAACTGGGCACTGTCTTTTGGTTAGACTTTGCTTATTTACTGTACTTTGCTAGACATTACACCGAGCCAGTCCTGTCTGATTCTGGAGGAGAGAAGCCAAGGACACCAGCAAGGGGATGATGCTCTGCGACAGGCAAAAAGAATCCTGCTGATTCCCAAAGGAAGGAGGACAGTCCACGATCCGGTGTAACAGTCACTGAGGATTAAGGCCTTCCTGAGGAAACTGGGCTCACTGTTCTGTCCCCTGTTTGACATCTGCACAAAAGGAAACAGAAGAGAATCACTTTGGTTTCAGGCTCTTCTCATTTGTACAGTCATTAATCAATAATCACCTAGATAAGGTATCAAAATTAAACAGCCAATTTCAATTATATATTAGTCGGAATAGAAAACAGGAAAAAGTTGTAAGAAAAAAAATATAAATATACAAAAACACATTAAATCTCGCAGCAGGAATCTGTCACTGCAGATCCCATTGAACATTCACAGCATCATATTTAAGTATCAGCTCATCATTCAGACCTTTGGGAACAATGTCTGCTATGTGAAGATCCAAAAAGAGGGAGAAATGATATATATAGATATATAAATTGATCCTCTAATGATGAATTATCTTCTATTCCCTGTGTATTTGTTATGCAATGTTTATTTTTTTGGATAATCTTTGCACATTGTCTTCATCTTGTGTATTTTTCTATATTCACATTTTTTTCATACATTCTTCTCCTATTTTCTATTCCTACTAATATATGATTGAATATGGCCATTTAATAATGTTACCCTTAGATTTACCATTAACCTAATATTATAATTGTCATTTTGAAAGAGATGACTTTAGATAGATTTTTTTTTCCTATGCTTTACCAGGGCTACGTTCAGCCCTAGCTAAACATAGCAGAATGTTCATTTAAATGAAAATGGTGGTGTGCTGAACACCCTGTTGTGTTACCCAAGCACACTGCCTTTGAGTAGGGTGGGGTTTAATTCATTTCAGTTGAAAAGCAAGTAAGTATATAAAATTTATTTATATAGTGCTTTTCATAGACATAGGTCAAAAAGTGGTTTATAAGGACAATTACAACAAGAAAGAAAACATAAGGACAAAGTGACCTGTGAGCCAGGAAGTTGAAAGTGTACAACTAGCAAAAATATTTGCACAAGAAAAAAAAATCACAATAAACAACAACAATACACAAAATATGAATAAAACACAGATCTGATAAACACAGGTTACCCAAACGCCTGTAGCAACAGGCTTGCTTTTAAAAGAAACCACAGAGTCAGCGGATCGTAAGAGAGCAGGCAGAGCTTCCAAAATTTAAGGGCTACAGCCGCAAAAGCTCGATCACAACATGTCTCAAGGCGAGTGTGAGGGATACACGACAAATGTAAGGTATTGGATCGAAGAGAGCGAGCTGAAGAATACAGGTGAAGTTGTTCAGCCACATAAGAGGGAGCCTGACCGTGTAAACTCTGTAAGTAAGAATGAGAATTTTTGTCTGGATCCTGAACTCAAAAGGAAGCCAATGAAGGGATTTTAGTATAAGGGTAATATGAGAGATCTACTGTACATTTATTGACTGACATGTCGCTGCTGACACACCCACTAAACAAGACAAAACATACCTCAAAGCCTGTTGCACACTGATTGACATTGTTTCAAAGAAACACTCAAACGTTCAACCCAGAAACCTTAGCAAAATGATGCACACCCTTTTTTTGAGATTGAACATCCCCCTAAAAAAAAAGGTCCATAGACCAAAACGTATTTATGAAATAAAGTTTACTGCAATTAACGAAAAGTGTGCAGGAATTCTCTCTTCTCCTGCCTATGAACATTTACTCTCATGCGCCTATTGAGAAAAGAAACTGAAGATGTGCATGGCCCTTTTCATTTGTAAGAATAATGTGTTATTTTTCCAAACATAACACAGTTCATTGCATTAACTGATTTTTGGACGCACTTGAGGGCAGTGGAACAGGCTACAAAAACACATTATCAACATATTTTCAAGTTATGACAAACATGTTAGCAAACAGTTGCAGTAGCACACCTATTTACACATTCAGCAGATTGGGAGCATCACTTATGTTCAACTTCAGAGTGCAAGTCCAGTATTCACCGTCCTTTTGTTTCTCTGTTTCTGTGAGCAAAGTTGAGGGTGGGGAAACCAAAACAATGAGCTGAAGGAAACTAAAACGGAACTGTAAAGTCTGGTTACAATTTGCTGTGGGTTTGTCACAACAAGTGACAACTTCAACATAACAGTCATTTGATCCATTGTGAAATACTACAAACTTTGCTTAGTGCAGCTTTAAAGAGAAATGGCCTCAGACAGAGCTATTTCAGGTAAACAAATACAAACTCAGTCATAAAAACTGGTCCAAGGGGAAATTGGAATAAGCATTTTACTGTTTGTCAGCAGATTTTCAAAAACAAAAGAAATGTGACTGTGGAGTGTATTAAATATAAAAAAGGCCCAACAGTGTGAAAGCAACCACATAAAAATTTAAAAATGGAAGTTACATCTACTTTCTGAATATATCTCTGACAGGTCTGTGATAGTTAGTTTGCAAACAGTTAGAACAACACTTGACGATGTGGGCTAGAAATTTCTCACAGCAGCCGGCTTAGCAGCAGAGACCTTCGTGTAATCTGTTAATATCAGCATCAGAACATGCAGACAGGAAGGAAGAAAGACCAGAGGAGATAATGGAGGACTGCCACAAATTAGTCAGTCGGAGGAAAGTGCACGCTGCTCATGTTTAAGTCATGCAAAGCAAACCTCGGGAACACCAATTCTCTTTTTAAAACACACAGCCACAAAGCCAAGCAAGCATGCCGCTGTGTCTGACATCTCTCTTACATCAAAATTTGCCTCTCCCACCTCAGCGTACACATTTCCAGAAATGCTGCGTGTGCACTCCCCTGCTGAGATGAAAAACCAAATAACTCTCCTGACTTCTCAGACTTTTTTTTTTTTTTCTAATTTGCTTCATCTTCTTTCTCATTTCCCCCTCTTTCTCCCATCTCCCCAGATCTGGCTCTCTGTCAGACAAAAAGGCGTTATGTAACGAGGTGCTGAAGCCTCCATGTCTTACCCAACATGCACTTGGGGATTACAGAGCATGGGCCCCCTGCAGTAGAAGAGTATGAGATGGGACTACGGGCTTACAAGATCCCACATCGGACAGTGCACGCGTGTGTGTATTATGGAGGCATTATAAAACAGACAAAACAGCACCACACAAAACAAATATGCAACACACCACACTGGTGAATTTAAAATGTTCATACTGGTGTCAGACAATGCGTGGAGACAGAGGAGCAGGAAGTATGGCTGCTGTTAAAGTGCGGTTGCAGTTCCAGTTTGACGGCGTATCCGTGAATGTGTGTACCTGCCAGAGAGTTCACACAGGGAGAGGAGCTGTGCCACAGGAGCCAGCAGCAGCAGCAGCCTCAGCAGGGACAGCAGAAGGGACACGGAGGGAGCTGACTCAATACCTCCCCGTCTCTATTCTCCCAGAACTCCTCTGTTTTTTTTGCACGGGTAAACAAATACTGAAGGCAAATAACAGCAACCCCAAACCCTCCTCATCCGCGCAATATGAGCCACAGAATGAGAAACAAACAGGTCTGTCTCTCATGAGCGTTGCTGAGTTTCACTGCAATGTCAACAATATCAAACAGAGCGGGCACAGACATGAAAAGGGGCAGTGGAAAAACAGAGATGCTGAGGTGAATGTGAACGACACTGTTGTTCTCTTTTCACTGCACATTTTAAGCTCCCATATTACACAATACACCAATATAACTAATGGCAGAGAACTATTTGTGGGGGCAACTGTATTTGTTCACAGCACAAAAGACAAAAAAGTGTGCAAAAAGGCACACCTGTACATTTCCTGATTATTGTTTCTTGTGTATTCATTTCTCTTTTTACAAATTTCAGTCCAACTGCCAAATCTGCCATGAAGTTGAGCTAATAGAAACAAATTTTTAATTCAATATAATGCTTTACATTTATAAATGAGTAGTATAAAAAAAGAAGAACAGAGGATAAAGCCTTTTTCAGATATGGAGTCTGTGATATTCATTTCCCCACATGGCAACCTCCAGGGCTGAAAAATGAAGCAAATGCTGATGTGCAAAAGACTGCAGTTCCTAAGGTGGCCACTTGAGGCTGTCTCCAGAAGCCAGTCAAAATACAGAGACCCCAGGCCTCCAGGAGGTGCACTGTGATTTGAAGCCAATTTTCGTAGTGGCCAAATAGAAGACTCTATCAAGTGATGCCACTGGGCCCAAAAAGACTTTTTCCCATTGACTTACATTGGAAAAGAGACATATGTGACAACCCCCATGAAATGACTTGTTTCAATATCTAGATTTGATCCATTTCGTCAGGTAACATTTGGAAAGTATAGAGGAGCTGCGAGATCAAATCTTTTTATCTCCAATTAAGTTAGCAGAGCACTAATTCGGAAGTAGCCGGTTTAATGCAGAGGCAGCGCCGATCATCTGGGCGATTTCTCACCACAGATGCTTTTTTGGCTTCATGCACCAGTGAGCAACTTTGATAGGAATGAACAGGGTCCTGTTCCCAACATATCCAAGTCTCTTGATACATCCATGATAGACACACATGTCAGAATGCTCAGCTTTACAGTAGAAATAACAAAAAACTTTCTTGGTCTCTACAGGTAGGGGGGTGAGTTTTTGTGGAGGCGGGCTCCGGGGTTTTTTCGGACCTAATTGTATTGCGGAGTTTTGCACAGCGGCGACCGGATCTTTGCTCTCAAACCACAAAAAAAATGTGATGCCTCTGCAAGTAATTGGTTGCTGGCAGACACTCTGTGCTGCAATAAAATGGTTAATCAGCAGTGCCATGCACTGTAGAACTGATGCGCTGCTGGTTCTGCCGGCCTGAATAGAATATAATGTCTATAGCCTTACTGTTGTGTGTACAGCCTTATAGACTGAGCTGAGTAGTGATGCGCGGGTAGACCCGTAACCCGCGGGACCCACAAATGGACCTGTGGGTTGGGCAGCAGTGATCGTCTGTTAAATCGGTCTGTAAATGATATTTTGACATTATTATTATTATAATCTATTAATCTATAATCTATTACTGTCATGGCATCCGAAGGTACTGATGCATTGAGCAGGTGACAGTCCGCGGTCGTTTTCAAAACACACTTGTGTCACGCACTCCTAAAGAAACTTGTTGAAACTTTAAACAATAATTTATTGTACAAAACGGGGGAAACAAACGTTGACAAAAACGGTTCCATAATTCATATTAAATTCAAAAGATAACGAAAAAACAGCTACAAGTTAGAGGGAATAGTGATAAAGTGGTAAACCTTGGCATTGATCCACAGCCTCAGATGGATGCACTCAAGCGTGCCGTGCACAAGCTCCGTTGGTATACTATATTTTCACATTTTTAACAATGCAATTTAAAAGTTTTGATTTTTATTGATAACCTACATTTACTAACAACAAAAAGACTACATTTAGCACCAAAAAATGTTAAAAAATAAATAAATAAAAATATAATTCACAGTGTATAGGCGTAGCTGTGACGGCCGTATTTCAGTGTGTTTTCAGTTCGTGAAAGTTACGCCAAAGGGTCCAATCTGACCCACGAGATGATTAGACTAAGAGATGCCAGGTTTCAGGAGCAACTTAAACAATGCCTTGTCTACTTAATGTAAAACTCTGCTTCAGAGGCTTTTCCTGACCAGAATACTGTTCTCTGATAAAACAATAAATACTTACTGTGACCATGTTTAAAGATATTGAACACTGCACAAAATAGCATCAATCAGCAGCTTTAGTTCAAAAGAATCTGCATCAGGAAATGTGTGCATAAATGCAAATGTAATGACAGTGAAGAGTAGACTGAGTGAATGTGGAAAAACTGAGACACTGTTGAGACTGCACTTATTTTTCTTCAGACATCTCAGGCTGTTCATCTGCTTCGTAAAAGAACAAACGTCTGCAGAATGTACTTGTAATTCTTTACGCAAAAAAGCGTTGATACTGGAGCTGATGGTACTATAGGCTACTGTGTGATGGTTTTATTGGTCTGGCCCATCTGAGATCAAATTGGGCTGTATGTGGCCCATGGACTAAAATGACACCTCTGATCTTAAGAGTTCAATATTGAGTTTTTGTATTAAGTACATTTTGTTTTAAGCCTGTTTTCAACTGCCAAAATGCCAGACTCCAGGCTTCTAAACGGGAATCAACAAACCAATAGGTGACATCATCGTGGATCTGACTATTTTGAATTGGCTCATATTTTGCACTTTATTAAACCTCCACTAATATTAGTAAATTATTTTTTTCATAATTATAATGGAAAAAATACTATGTATAATGTAAAAGGTTTTGCTTATAGTGATGAACCAGCAGAGAATTATCACCCAACTCTGCATTTCCCCACAGCTTTATGGAGCTTTAAAGCATCTTTTAATTTAGTATTTTGGTTTTACAGCCCACAGCTGTACTGTTATGGTTCAGTCTCACCGCTCTCATCAACCTTGTTTCAGCTTGCAGCTGTTCTCAGCAAAAACAAAAAAGCTCTGATAAACACAGTACCTGCTCAGCACCAAACAGCACACAGACACATTAGCAGCTAGCTGGTGAACACTGTGAAGCATTTAGCAGCTTCAGAGTCAGATATTTCCCTCAGGAGCTGATGGGCATGGAAGTGAAGTTAAAAGGAGAGTGAATATTGGACTTAAATTGAGTTGACAACAAACAGGACTTTAAATGAATGCTAATGTTGTTCTGTGTCTGCTGGATGTGTTAATGGACGACTGTTAAATAACACCTTGTTAAAAGTGATGACATGTCAATATTGTGTTTTAGGCTTGATGCTCTGCCTCAGAGAGTAATTAAGACACTGTGAAGTGTTATTACAGATCACGTAAGAAGAGGTAACAATATGCACATTTAATATTTCTTTCTGCATATAAACCTTGTGTATACTGAAGCCTTCTGTTAAGGGTAAGACATATTTTGGCCTCAGCTGCAAGTCAGAAGTTACCTGGTTTTAACTACAGAGACTGCAGTTGTCACTTTTATGTAATAGTGACGTTGGCACTCGACTATGGAGGCCCTGAGAGGCAAGGTGATTTTGTTTTGTTTTTTGCAGGAAATGTTGTCCAAAACCATATTTTATCTCCTAGAAAGAAAATACTATCTCCCAAGTACAGGATGTTACTTGGAGATTATCTCCTACGTATGAGATATTATCTCCTATGGATGGGATGTTATTTGATGATCTTATCTCCTACAAATGAGATAACATCCCACACATAGGAGATAACATCTCATATGTAGGAGATAATATCAGGTACGTAGGCAATAAACTTGGTGGGTTTTCACCCACAATTCCTGCAAAATAATCTTTCTCACCTTGCCTCTCACAGCTTTAGTATTTGATGTTAAATATGACCAGATAAAATTAATTAAACTAAATATATAATAAAAGAGGATTACCCATGATGAATAATTACAGACCTCAAATGACACGCTTTAACAAAAAATAAATTCAAGACTTTTGGTGTTTAAAAACCTGCAGGCACCTGGTTTGTGTATGAGCATGTGCTACAAGTGACGGCACGTCAAGAAATACCAGCACACTTTGAGCACCCTTCTTTTTATACATGGATGTTTTGAACTCATGCGCAGGTATTTTTTCTGCCAACCTTTCTTGATTGTCTACAGTGTACTGACGCACCCAAGATAAAAAATTTTGTTGCCCTAAGTGGGCGCAGTTTCACAGCAGCACTGAGACTCTCACGTTGTGTTCACACCAAACTCACGCGAGTTTGAATGCTAGAATAATTTGTGTTGACTCGCTGCATACATGCAAATAACTTTCGCCGATACATACTCTACGTCATACGTCCCTGGAGGATCTTAATGCTGATTGGCTATCGCGGCACAAATTAGGCGCTTAAGTTCAGATTTTTCAACTCTCCCGAGTAATCTTATGACACAAAATCATGCTACTCACTTCATTCGCAGCTCTTAATTCTTGTATTTCATGTTGCGTCCATCGTGCCACCCAGCAGGAATTTGTGTCTAATCACGTATTTACATCACTCCCACGAATTGTTAAAGTCGTGCTCGGTGTGAACACAACATTAGGCTGATGACATCGGGCTTACCCTGACGACCTAGGGCTCCCTCTCTGATGACACGTCACCATCGGCTCCACTACTGGCGTTGGGGTCCTGTCGGGAACGTAGAGCGCCTTTTTCCCTGCTCGACTCCGAGGGGCCCTTGGAGCGGGTCTTCTCTTTCCTCTGCTGCTGCTTCTCCTGCTTTGACAGCTGAGGAAACACAAGAAACAACCAAGCTTCAATTTAATGTGCCGTTATCATGTACGAGCATGTCAAAGGACGCATGCCATGAATAATATGGAAATGCTGCCTCAAAAAAGCTCCTGACAACATTTAGGTGCCTCTGGAAAATAAAAGGAGTAAAGGAAAAATCCCGAACTAGCTTCTCAATTAGCTTCTTATTTTAAGCAATGGGGTTCATTAAAACTGATCTGTTTATTTCCCTAAGAGATGTCTGTAGTTTTTTTCCTCTAAGCTCTTCTCACTGGTTTGACATGGGAGGGGACAGTTGGTAAAAAGTGATGTCACAAACTTGTGTGTGAATCACATCCATACAGTCCTGCTGGATGAGATTAGCTGAATTTTTGAGTGTTAAATGCTCAAACAAGCTAATTTAATCACAAATATTTTGGGGGGAATATTTCAGACTCAAAGGTATGTTTAGTTTTTCTTTAAGACAAGCAAACTTCTTGCATATTAAAAACACATCCCCTCTGGCTGAACTGTAACTGAAACCTTATCAGTCTGGGGATGCTGCCGGCCCAGTGGGTTGAGACACACACCGTGAACATGCTGCATCATGACTTGCAGATCATGACCTTTGCAGTTTGTTCAGTATTCACCCAAAGGTCCCAACATGCATGAGAATTAGTTAAACTAATTAAACAAAAGAGGAGAAATACATCAGTGCCACAGAAGCAGCACTCCAGATCTGCTTTGTCTTTGTGGACTCACAACCACTTCTATTCTCTCCTCATTTAGAGCTATTCTCGGCCGTCATATGATCACTTCAATGAGTCTTTTGTTGTGACTGCATGCGCTGCCTCTCACACACTCCAAAATAACCCTTCCCAGTGCCACTCAGTCGTCACTGCTCCGATCAAACCCGCTCGCTTTCTCATTGTATTCTTCACGGTCCATGAAACACCACAACAGTAATGATGAAGTCGCTATGCTACCCGCCATCTGAAAAAGGCCTGTAAACACAGATGCTGAAACTTTAATGGCTGCCAGGGAAATATTTATGAACTAAATGTCATCTTAAAAATCCAAAGCATTGCGTAAGACATTACATTATTCAGAGACGACAAAAAAAATCAGTGTTATTCCCGTTTGAACCCATTAACATGCTGTAGTATCAAACCAGGCCTTCTGACTTTGTTGATGTAAAACACTGTGAACAAACATGTGTGCTCCTTCTTTTACAATAAAGCAATTAACATTTCAAACTCCGATGTTAAAGGGGAACTCCGGTATTTTTCAACTTGGACCCTATTTATACAATCATAATTATATAATTTACAATTTAATTATAAAACCTACACTGCTCACACATACGAAACCATGGACAATCAATTATCAATCATGTGCAATATCTGTATCTGTATATACTAACTGCGAAATATCTAAACTTGATCAATTCTGCCACTCAGCCTGTCTATCTATTAATATATCTTGCTTCTCACTCAGATTTATATCTTGCTTGAAAATCTGAGCCTGTTAGTGGCAAAAACAAACACCTTTAGTGGACGTAAATTGACGGGGCGCACCTGCCCTGAGTGGTGACATGGTGGCCTGTTTCTCTGCTGGTGGGCTGCAGCACTCTTGCTCACAACAAGTCACACACACAAACATGAGAAAATAGGGTTCAGGTTGAAAAATACCAGAGCTCCCCCTTAAAAGCTAAATTCAAACCCAAAACTCTGAATTCCATCTGGATATTAACCTGACCTAACATGATCAGATGTTACATAATTTCTGTTTCAGAACAGTTAGCTCAACAAACAGATCACCTCCAGAGAAGGACCCCTCTGCTACTGACCCCAGTTGTCCGGCGTCCCAAAGAGAACATCCAAACAGGATGATTTTCATTGCTCTGGATAACACCATTGTTTGCTGGCCGCTTGACCCTGCAATGGACTAAATCCCTGATTCATGGAAAGAAAGGAACAGTGTCTGTTGGCTATTGCTTCATTTCCCCCCCGTGCCAAGCTTAGCCTATTGGCTGGCCTTTTATCCCTCATGTTCAGCCTTGGCTTTGGCTCCTCGGCCCCCACAGCAAAACATCCCAAACAGACAAGATTAAAATTCTGAGGACTGCTTAATATCCCTCCCTTTGGGCTACTGAGCCAAGCCCACCAAGGGGAGAGCAGCCAAAGCCGGCCCGGAGCCAAAGCATAAGAACGCTGGCCAAGTTCCACGGAAGTGACTAGAATTGATTCAGGAGGACAGATATATAAACTTCTTTCAAATGGCGGGAATAATAGAGAGGTTTATAAATTTGCTCAGAACTTGGTAGAACAGTTTTCTCTTATTTTGCACCCTGGATGTGGAATAACCTTCAGAAGACAGCTTCAGGATTTTGTCTCTCTGGGAGACTTCCAAGCTTGGACCAAAAAAAAAAAAAAAAAACCTGTTTAACCAAAGAGTGCAACTGCTATTCCTAAAATGGATTCTGTATTATATCTGTTGTCCCTGCCTGTTTAATTGCTGTATGTTATAATTTTTGTAACCTTAAAATGGCATGCTAAATTGGCCAGGTCTCCCTCTGAGAGAGATTTCAATCTCAAGGAACTTCCTGGTTAAATTAAGGTTAAATAAAAAACAAATAAAATAAACGCATGGTGCTTTATCAAAGAGATAGGATGTGTTAAGATAAAAAGAGGATTAAGGGGGGAAATTTGTTAGTTGTTCCAGCAGTACAAAGAATGGTGAAGATAAATAAAATAAATAAATATTAAAGAAGTGGATTAGATATAGAATCAACAATACACTCACACAGAACATACTTGCAAAATTACCCCTCAATTTACAACTGCAAAAAGCACACTTCATTATAAATTAATCCAGTGTTTCCCAAACTGAGGGTGCAGAGACATTACAGGAAAAAACATATGGAGTAAATCAGATTAGCAGATATTTTGATTTGTCTAACACACTTAGCACAGCATTAACTAATAAAACTAGGGCTGGGTGTTACGGAAAAAAAATCAAAAATCACAATATTTTTGACCAAATACCTCAATATCCATATTGCGACTATACTGTGGTACTTTCACAAATTATTTACACAGTGAAATTTTTGATATATAACCATCAGTAATGTGGCTTTAATGAGTAACTGGGTAACGGCAAATAATGGAACAGCTACAATACACTGATAAGTTCAGAAAATTACATCACTTTACTGTAGTGCAGCCTTTAAAACCAGGAAAAGACGATATGACAATCCAATATCTACCCTCATATCACAATATTAATATAATATTGGTATATTGCCCAGCACTATATGAAACTATTGTTGTAACTAGTTCATGAAACATTTTTGCTTCCAATGGGGGGCATGACACAAAACATTTTGGAACGACTGAATAAAACTATCAATCTTTTTTATCGGTTAATTTTTTGAGGTGGGTATGGTCACACTGCTGTTCTGTCACATAGGAAAGAAGGTGGACGTCTCTACGGCTGATATCTCACTCAGCAGCTCACATTGAAACAATCTACATTTATAAATAACACTACAAGTAAGTAATTTAAGAAATTTTTACTCTAAATTTTATATGTATGCAGATTTTTTGTAAACTACTAAATATTAAAAATGATATTGATCTCAAAAAGTGGTTGGGCTCAGATCTGCTGTACACCTAGAGACAGTAAACCAGATGAGGTCAATGATGGAAAATAAACCACAATTTCAAACATTTTGTCTTTGGGAAGTTGATGTTTCTAACTCAAATCATGAGTCCCATTAAACAGAACTGCTCCACATGCGCAGTAACATGAGAAGCAGGAGCTACAACACACAACAGAAGAGTAAATATCACCACCTAGTGGTTCATACTGAGAAATAAAATGACTCACTGAGGAGTGGACTGACAGTTCATGCATGGATTCAAGTTGGGTACCGTAGACAAAACAATCTTAATTCAATGGCACTTTACTAGCTTTTTTCTGGGCCTATTAAGTTAAGATGTTTTTGTCAGACTACTTTGCCCTTAGTAACGTACCTGTCTGGGGTCTGTGGGGCCAGTAGGAGACACCAGTTCAATGGTAACAGGTCCGTCGTTTTGAATGTGGACCTGCATGTAGGCTCCAAACTCCCCGTCTAGAAACACAAGACAAAACAGAAAGACATTTTACATGCTGGAAATTAAAAATCAAAGACACAAGATAAACCCAAGTTTCATCTCTTCGCATTATTGCCACAGTCAGCACACAGTTTAGCCCAGTATATCCCAGATGACACCCCTTCCTGATATTAATAGGCAGTAAACACAAGAGGAGTTTGTTTGGCATTGGCAGTCGATGTTTCATTAGGATGTAGGATAAAGCCTTGAGACATTGGGGACAAAAGACGAAGGGGCTGTAGGAGGACAGGAAGTTTCAGCTTAAATGTTCTCCTTTCTTCCACTGGGTCCGCGAGATTAATGACTCCATCTGCACAAAGAAGCCGTGGGCCGCGGTGGAAAAGCGCTGCATCATCATATTTCCTCTCTGGAGGGGGGGACTAATTAGGAAGCCTTATGCCTCCCTTGCTGGGACAAGGTGTTCTCCGCACCTGCTCCCCAGTGGGCTGACCCAATTCACTGCCACCGTCACCACCAGGGCGTCACAGCGCCGATAATCCAAACCTCCCACCCCCAACAAAGCTATAACCTTATAATGAAATGGGAATACAGGCAATTAAATAGCAGGGGGACAGGGCACAGATCCAAACTTATAAGAGAGTGCTGATATTGGTGACCCTCAACACTTCTGGTTTTAATGAGCTCGGAAACAAGTAGCTGTAAACATCCCAGGCACGTTGTCCTCCAGTCTCCTGGGACTCATGAAAGTGGCCTCTTGTTCTGACCTCCACACTTTTCACAATGACCCTTTAAATTCTCACTATTTCCCAACTCTCAGACTGACGTTAAATGTTTTGAAATAATGATTCAATAACTTTTAATTATTAAAAAAGTATGAATTAAGTGCATTATTAGCCCCCCTCCTCTAACACCACTGGACAATAGAGGGAAACAGTAACAATGGCTGAAGCCAGATTTATACTTCTGCATCGAATCGAAGCTGTAGCCTGACATACACCTCTGTAGAATGGTAACTATACAGCCTGGCTATGCAGACCTCCTGTTTTGTTTTGTAAGCTGAAAACTATTTCCCTCAGTGGAAACAAAATTTATTTCACAGATATCTTATAAAGCAAGAGAGGAACCTGTAATTGCACTAAGAGTATTCTGTACTCCACTCGTATCAGTGTGTTATTGTTGAAAAAGGAGCACTCTCAGAGACATGCCTGTTTTTATGTGTTATTTTATTTAAAAAAGCTATTTATTTAATTAATATAATTTATTTAATATAATTTTTCGTGTACTTGGTGATATATTGTGCAGATATGTATTTCAAACAGCAAAGGAGGCCCTGTCTTAGCCTTTTATTTTGATCACAGTATGTTTTTGTGACATCTCACATGTGTCTTCGACTTACGACTGAACATTTCTTACTAGAAAATACTGCGATATATCGTACATCGCCATTTAGCCAAAAAATTACCCAGGTATGATTACTGGTCAATATGCACAGCCCTAACAGAAAATACACAATACACTGAAAAGACAATAAAGCTCTCTCACAAAAAGTCTTGTGGGTGATTCATCCTGACTTCAAAAGAGTAGAGGAAAAGTCTGGTAGCTGCTAGGCTAATTTCATTCATTCATTCATTCATTCATTCATTCATCTTCTAACCGCTTCATCCTCTTGAGGGTCGCGGGGGGGCTGGAGCCTATCCCAGCTGACATCAGGCGAAAGGCAATTTATGCATGGGAAACACCATATGCTTATGCTAGTAATGTTAGCATGTTGTATATGTGGAGAAAACGTGTCTCTTACAAGACAACTGTTTTCTCTGTGAATCTTATGATTTATGATGGAGCTAAATTTTGTACTTTTGTTTAATGTTGTTGCTATTAAGCCATGTTTTATGCGAGTTTAAAGTGTGTTAGTTGAAGAAACATCACAGAAACTCAACAAATGTTTGACCTTCGTTAAATGCTACTGTTGTTCCCAGCGTCATTTGAGTAGAGGAGTAAGTCTGCAAGCCGCTAGGCTAATTTATGCAATGTGATATGTCAATAGGCTTATGCTAATAATGTTAGCATGTTGTATACAGTACAGGCCAAAAGTTTGGACACACCTTCTCATTCAATGCGTTTTCTTTATTTTCATGACTATTTACATTGTAGATTCTCACTGAAGGCATCAAAACTATGAATGAACACATGTGGAGTTATGTACTTAACAAAAAAAGGTGAAATAACTGAAAACATGTTTTATATTCTAGTTTCTTCAAAATAGCCACCCTTTGCTCTGATTACTGCTTTGCACACTCTTGGCATTCTCTCCATGAGCTTCAAGAGGTAGTCACCTGAAATGGTTTTCCAACAGTCTTGAAGGAGTTCCCAGAGGTGTTTAGCACTTGTTGGCCCCTTTGCCTTCACTCTGCGGTCCAGCTCACCCCAAACCATCTCGATTGGGTTCAGGTCCGGTGACTGTGGAGGCCAGGTCATCTGCCGCAGCACTCCATCACTCTCCTTCTTGGTCAAATAGCCCTTACACAGCCTGGAGGTGTGTTTGGGGTCATTGTCCTGTTGAAAAATAAATGATCGTCCAACTAAACGCAAACCGGATGGGATGGCATGTCGCTGCAGGATGCTGTGGTAGCCATGCTGGTTCAGTGTGCCTTCAATTTTGAATAAAACCCCAACAGTGTCACCAGCAAAACACCCCCACACCATCACACCTCCTCCTCCATGCTTCACAGTGGGAACCAGGCATGTGGAATCCATCCGTTCACCTTTTCTGCGTCTCACAAAGACACGGCGGTTGGAACCAAAGATCTCAAATTTGGACTCATCAGACCAAAGCACAGATTTCCACTGGTCTAATGTCCATTCCTTGTGTTTCTTGGCCCAAACAAATCTCTTCTGCTTGTTGCCTCTCCTTAGCAGTGGTTTCCTAGCAGCTATTTGACCATGAAGGCCTGATTCGCGCAGTCTCCTTTTAACAGTTGTTCTAGAGATGGGTCTGCTGCTAGAACTCTGTGTGGCATTCATCTGGTCTCTGATCTGAGCTGCTGTTAACTTGCGATTTCTGAGGCTGGTGACTCGGATGAACTTATCCTCAGAAGCAGAGGTGACTCTTGGTCTTCCTTTCCTGGGTCGGTCCTCATGTGTGCCAGTTTCGTTGTAGCGCTTGATGGTTTTTGCGACTCCACTTGGGGACACATTTAAAGTTTTTGCAATTTTCCGGATTGACTGACCTTCATTTCTGAAAGTAATGATTGCCACTCGTTTTTCTTTAGTTAGCTGATTGGTTCTTGCCATAATATGAATTTTAACAGTTGTCCAATAGGGCTGTCGGCTGTGTATTAACCTGACTTCTGCACAACACAACTGATGGTCCCAACCCCATTGATAAAGCAAGAAATTCCACTAATTAACCCTGATAAGGCACACCTGTGAAGTGGAAACCATTTCAGGTGACTACCTCTTGAAGCTCATGGAGAGAATGCCAAGAGTGTGCAAAGCAGTAATCAGAGCAAAGGGTGGCTATTTTGAAGAAACTAGAATATAAAACATGTTTTCAGTTATTTCACCTTTTTTTGTTAAGTACATAACTCCACATGTGTTCATTCATAGTTTTGATGCCTTCAGTGAGAATCTACAATGTAAATAGTCATGAAAATAAAGAAAACGCATTGAATGAGAAGGTGTGTCCAAACTTTTGGCCTGTACTGTATGTTGGGAAAACATGCCAACAGGGTTCCCACTCATTTTCATGGACAAAATTTTAAAACTTTACCCTGACTTTTCAAGGACCCATAATAAAATTTTCACTTTGGAAAAGCATGCACTTCACTGTGTCTGCTGCACTTGCCAGCCTAGTTGCGATACTTTTCTACACACACACACACGTAGGAGTGTATTGCTTCCCATAACAAACACCGCCACACTATGTCACATATACACCTAATGTCTAAAGGCAGAAGGTTTGGCTAGTATAAGTCATGGAAAATGGGAACCGTGCAAGTTTTCCATTTGAATCAAGCACTGCTTGACACTGCACTTTCTTTGAGGCAACTATTACACATCACAACGTCAATGCTGAAACGTCACATTGTGCAGCCCCAAGTTGAAGCATATTAGAGCCAAGTTATGTCAGCTAACTTAAAAAAAAACAAATTCGCTATTTTATTACATTACATTGTAGATTATCCCTAGATTACTATAACAATTTATTTCATTACAAGCAACAAAATTCTGTGAGTTTTCCAAAACTTTCAGTGATTTTTACCAACTCCATGACTTTTCCAGGCCTGGAAAACAAGATTGTGAAATTCTCTGACCTTTCCTGGTTTTCTTGTGTCTAGCAAAAGACAACTGTTTTGTCTGTGTGTTAGTTGGATCAATCAAACTTTGCTGCATTTCACAGAAATTCAACACAGTTGCATGAACCCTTACTAAACAGCATTTCGGAGATGTACCTGCAGAGATTTCAGACACACCATCGCACTAGTATAAATGCCTGGGTAGAACTATAAATCAGTGGTTAGTCATCAGTCCACCCACCCTTGATGAGCTCTGGCTTGTAGGTACTCCTCATGTTCTCCAGGATGCTGTTGTAGAAGGGCTGGGCCAACTCTGCAGGCATGGCTGAGTGGAAGTCTGGCTTGTTGCCTTTCAGTATACACTGCAGTGTGAACTGGCTCACACACAGCACCTCAAAGTCCCTCTCCATGACACTTTTGCTCCATGCTCGCCCGTTCTCGTCCTCAAACAGCCGCAGGTTCAGGATCTTGCGTACCCTGAAAACACAGGAGGAAAAGCAGTGAGGAAACAACCTGCCTGTAACCGTGACCATGCATTGGCTGAGATATGTAATCCACCACAGCAAGGATTTTGCTGTCTCTATTGTTGGTCAGAGTTACAATATGATTGAGTGGTAATGCACTTCATGCAGGAATCATTTTAAAAACATTTTGCTTGTGTTTTTTAGTCTTTCTTAAGTTATCTCCTTAACTAAAGATCATGTAAACTTCACACCTTTGCTTACCATTTTAATGCATGCTACAGGTATATACAGTCTTTTTTTTTTTTGTCATGCAGTGTATGTTATGAATATGTGCCAGACCCCAGGAGAAATAGTAGCAGCCAAGCTACAGCTAATGGGCATCCTAAAATAAACAACAAAACAAACAAACAGTTTAACACTGGTGTAGCGACTACTATCAATGAAAAAAGCCGCTAAGAGGTTGAGTAGGCTCTTAACTGTGACTCGTTCAATAAAGTCCACGCTGAAGTCTAACGAAGCATTTTACAACGATTTATTAAACAAACAACTGGATGAGTAAAACAAAATGAGGTGAAACAAAATATTACTGATGTGATTACATTATGTGATTACAGTTACGGTCAGCAGAAATTATCGCAGCCAAAACTCACCCTCTTTGTCTATAAAACCACCACGCCAGTGAATGAACAGATAAAATAATGTGAAACCACACCTGTGCCAATTACTACTGGGAGTGAAAGTGATTGAAAGTATGTGTGCAGCCTAAACAAATAATAAACAACGAGGGTTAAATACACATTCTGGCTCCTGCACCTGGTGTGAAAAATATAAAACACTACTGTCAAAATAATGTTTTGGCTTCATGGGGCCGTGCTACATATTCAAATTCACGAAACTGTGTTTCCTTTTTCTCTGGGTTTTTGGTCAATAATAGGCTGCAATTGTTTGGTTTGTGGGCGGCACGGTGGTGTGGTGTTTAGCACTGTCGCCTCACAGCAAGGGGGTTCCTGGTTCAATCGCAGGAGGAAGCCCTTCTGTGCGAAGTTTGCTGCAAACTCCCTCCCTCCCTCCCAGAGAAAACCCGCACTGCACTGTCCCTCACAGCAAGAGGGTTCCTGGTTCGGTCACAGGAGGAAGCCCTCAGTTTGCTGCAAACTTCGCACAGAAGGTCTCCCTCCCTCCCGGAGAAAACCCATGCATGTTCTCCCCTGTGTCAGCGTGGGTTTTCTCCAGGTACTCCAGCTTCCTCCCACAGTCCAAAGACATGCAGGTTAACTGGTGGCTCTAAATTGTCTGTAGGTGTGAATGTGAGTGTAAATGGTTGTCTGTCTCTGTGTGTCAGCCCTGTAATAGTCTGGTGACCTGTCTAGGGTGTACCCCGCCTCTCGCCCAATGTCAGCTGGGATAGGCTCCAGCCCCCCGTGACCCTCAAGATGATAAGCAGTTATGAAAATGGATGGATGGATGTTTGGTTTGTTTAAGTGATAACAATGGAATAGTGTTTAGCACTCAGCAGTCTGGAGTCTTCTTGATACATGAACATGAATAAATTTCAGATTTTTTTGCACAGTTTCCTTTTTTTGTGTGTAAACAATAGAGAAAACTGTAGACCAGGGGTGTCAAACATACAGCCTGGGGGCCAGAACCAGTCTGCCAAAGGGTCCAATCGGGCCCTCTGGATGACTTTGCACACCTAAAGATGATGCACATGTGAAGGCTGAGCGGTTACAGACGCAAGTTAAACAGTGTCATGTAAAATACTGCCTTAGAGGCACTCTGACCAGGATACAGCTCTCTGAAATAACAATCAGTACTTCCCATGGTCGTAATTACAGTGTAATTACAGTGCTGTATGTGACCCCTGAACTATACTGAGTTTGACACCCCTGCTGCAGACAGTGATTTCAGCCCCAGTCAGAGTTGTGTCTCTGCTACTGAGGGTCCCTCCCACAAACACTCACATGTACTCAGCATCCTTCTGGGTGTCCTCCACAGATATACCCAGCAGCACACACAGTCCTCGTCCTATCGAGCTGATCTGCTCCTCTCCCACTGCAGGGAAACAGGAGAAGGTTGAGTGAGCTGTTACTCTGGACAGTAAGCGACAAGCCGCCCAGACTGACAGGTGACAGACAGAATGACATCACTGTGTGTGGAGGAGAGGAGCCAGCAGTCAGGGCTGTCACTCAGCTGTCACAGCCACCAACAACCACAGGACACGTTCGTCATTTGTGCGGTGAAATAACCTTTACTGGTTTCCTCCGAGCTCCGACACCCAGTCGGCAGTTGTCTGTGTGGACTCCAGTCAGAGACAGACACGCCTGGCTGTTCCCTGGAGCCTGGGAGTGCTAATGCTAATACAGCTATGTTAGCTAACATGCCCGGTCAGCCACGGTAATAAACGGAAGCTGTTAGCACCGGTTTAACGACATTATCAAAGGCGTCACAGCTTAGCACCTTCTCTCAGTTATAAACAGCCGCTTACCTGTCACAGTCGCCTTGGTGACCCTCTGAATGATAGCTTTCATTGTTTTGGTTGTGTTGGGGGCACGCGCTCTCTCAACTTCCAGTCCTGCAGCGTCACGGCACGTTGTCGCCCTCTAGCGGCGCGTGCCCTCTGGATGTATGAGGAGCAGTGGGTACAGTGTGGAGGCGGGGCTCGTTCACTCTTATAAATAAAGTTTATTCTAGGACCATGCATTGGCTCAGCGTCTCTAATTGAACCCTTTCATGCATGAGTTATGACTACCTCAGTGTTTTACCTCTTTAGGCATTAAAAAAAATTAAGTTTTTTTTTTTTTTTAACATGCATTTTTCAAGGAGTTTTTCCACATGCTCACTCGGGTGGACAGCGTGCGATTAAGATTTTAACTAAAGAAATAAAAAACAATGAAAATGTGAAACTATAAAAAGTACACCTTTAATGCTGTTGAACTAGTGTGTTCATAATTTAAAATATTCTAGTGCTTTTCAATGCAAAAGAGTTTAACCATGCTCCTTACCTCCTACTGTTGAACTATTTTTTTTCAGTGAACAGTTTCAACAAAAATATTGTCAAAATATTGTTTTTGTTGAAATGTAATTATTTAATAAACTACTTTACTTCCCTAACAACCTGTCCTTGGAGTAATTCCCCCCTTTATGTGTTTATAATATTTATAACATTTACAATTATATTTATAGCAAATTGATTATTAAAGATATGTATATATAATAATTTATTTACTATTTTGTATTTGATTTTTATTATTCTATTTATCTACCGTTCCTTCTTTCTCTTAAACCAACCTTACTATCGGGTCTACTTACAACTGCACTATAAACACATTTCATATTATTGTCTTATAAAGTAAAAATACTTCATAATATTTACATAATTTAAGCCTTTTTTTCTATGTTGAGACTATTTCTAATTTACTGTTCGTGTTCTGTTTACAAAAAAAAAGAAAAGGTAATGGCACTTGCAATTCTCGATTGTTGTTATCCATCTATCCTTAATAAAAAGATTTTTTAAAAATATATTTATATATTGTTTTTGTCACAAAAACTGCAAGTTACATTCTAAAACTTTAACTAAAACAAGAAAACATGAGCACAGTCTCCAGTCTCCAGTCTTGATCTCACTTCACTGGCTTCCTGTCCGCTTCAGGATTGATTTTAAGATTTTATTGCTTGTTTTTAAGGTTTTAAATGGCACATGGCATGTGAGCTTTTATGCATCCACACTCCTGTCAGAGCTTTGAGGTCATCCAGTCAGATGTTGCTGGATGTCCCTAGATCTAGACTAAAAAATAGAGGTGAGTGACCGAGCTGTTTCTGTGGCTGCTCCTAACCTTTGGAATAGTTTACCCATGCGGATAAGTACTGCTCAGACCACTGAATCGTTCAAGACTTTACCTTTTTTCTATGGCTTTTAATGTGAGCTGATCTTTGACATCTTGACTCCACATATTGTTTTTGTTTGTTTGTCTTGTGTTTCTGTATTTTGTTAGTTTCTTTAATGCTTGTCAAACACTTTGGTCAACTCTGGTTGTGTTTAAATGTGCTATGTAAATAAATTTGACCTTGACCTTGACCTAAAACATGAATCAATTGATTTACAACCAGTAAGTATTTTCAAGGACAACAAAGTCATTTAATTCATATAACAAATTAATCTAACCTTCTATGGCACTGTGTTGCCTCCAGGTATCATACACGTTTGGCTGTTTACACTCACAAAGTACATCCTCAATTATGTTGCAATACGTTAAAGAATAGCCAAGGCCCTGAGGAAACCAACAGCACTGTTTATATCATGACGTGAGTTTCTGGAGGTCACGTTAAGCTCCTCTTTTGGGGCCTTCCTCACATGATTCAGTTCTCTCCACAAAATCGGTCTGAGAACATCCTTGTCTGTCATTTTACACTAAAAAAATAGATTCATAGTCATAGATAAGTTGTTTCATTTTTAATAGTTTAATATACTTTATTTGATAATTAAGTAATAGAACATTGTTAAAACTCAAATGTTGTCTTGAGGCAACATCATACCATTGTAAAATCCGCACCATGATGTGCGAGGTATCAGGCACTGCATCAATGTATATTGCTTACACTGGTTGATTAGAAAAAACAAAAAGTCATACAACAGCCATGAGATAAACACATCTTATTTAAAGTGTTCAGTTTTATTCTGATTTTTCTGCAGATTCATTTCTATTGTACAGTTTGAAGCTGCACTTTGTGGTGGTGCATCTAATTTTCTTTCTGGCTTCACTCAGGATAATGACGATATCTGAGAAAAATGCAAAACCTCCAGACACTTTAAGAACAACTCCCACAATGAAGAGATGAAGTTTATTTATACATCATTAGTGGTTATGGCATCTTTGTATTGTGGACAATGGTGTGGATAAGGCTGACAGTAATGACAGATTAATAATAAACAATATCTGATGACAGATCATGAGCATCCAAACACAGCTGCAGCTCCCTCAGCCTGGGCGGGTGAACACTGCGCTGGAACTTCTTTCACAAATAAAGACAGCATCCTCACACAAAGCATGAATTCATAGTTCAGTGTATAAAAACTTGCTCTTGACAAGTTCAGTGTCCGTCATCCTTCGCACTGATGCAGCTACTTGTCTCCAGGTTTACTGCCGAAGTACTGGAAGAAGTTGTAGATCCTCGTGGTGTAGGGGACGAAGTCTTTCTTGTAGACGATGATGGTTTCAGTGTGAGCAGATCGGAAGACGACCCGGTTTGGATCTTCGCACTCTTGTACCTCTTCTTTTTTTACTAAGTTAAAGAGGGAAAGTAAAGAGTGACAGTTGTTAGATATCACATCTGTGATAACTGGGTTGAGGGAATAAATGTGAATGTGAACAACTGATATTGGAATATTACTGAACAACTAAAAGGTTTAGCTTGACTGACAAACCTGACAGCTGTACAAGTAAAAGGCAATTTATTGAAGCACTTTTACCTCTGTATCTGTAAAGTAACTATCAGATGAATACAGTAAAAGGAAAATATTTTCCCTCTGTAGTGAAATAGCAGTATAAGGTAGCCTAAAATGGAAGTATTTCTCACTTCAATCATTTCTTTTGAAGCATAATGTATCTAGTGCATAGAAAAGGCAACTGATTTTATAACTCTAGTAGGCAACCCAAAGGCTTATTTGTATTTGCAATATTGATAGTTAAACTTTTTTTTTTAAATTCGATAATTGGTGTCCATGTATTGATACAATATTGCTATGCAAAATACCATGCTTTATCAATTTTCCCCCCACCTCTAACTTACGTAAAGAACAAGTACCTTAAAGTTGTCAGACACATTATAGGCCTACTTTATAGTAGACAACACTGTAGTTAGTTACACTGAATTATATGACACCACCATTTTACAAAACATACAGCGTCCAGTAATATATATTCACAAAAGAAAAAGGGAAACACAATGCACAAAATAATATCAATAAATTACCACGTTATAAGTACTATTATATTCTTCCAAAGAACATATTTGAAATATGTTACAAGTGAACTGTACATTGAAAAGAGCTGCTAACCTGTAGTTTATTTTGATAAAAGGCTTTTTGTCCCCCTTTTTTTAAGTAACTAGCAAATCTACATTTTCATACATAAACAGACAACTCAGTGTTTGTGCATTACTCATAGGAAATGTAGGCAATTAGTTTTTATGCACCACATATCTGGAACAAAGTCCTGGAAACTGCTCATTAAATCAAATATATAGTCATTTCTTACACTGTGCTGCAACTTTTATATTCTTGTATTTTACACCTGTCTTAGTATATTTTTAAACTTTTAATTTTCTGTTCTCTAGTTCTTTAATGATTTGGTTTTACATGTCCTTTTATGGTGTGTTTCTTTTGCTTTGATGGTTTATGTAGAGCACTTTGAACTGCCTGGGTGCTGAATGTGTTATATAAATAAACTTACCTTGCCTTACAAAAGTATCTAGTAGTGCACAGTTCCCAGTAAAAAGGCCACAGAAAACAAAGTGAAACTCATTTTCAGTGTCAGTCAAACAGCACCTTAGTGGAATAACACCACATCTCAGCTGGGACACATGATGCTTTATAGATGTAGCAGCCACACAGTTAAACCTATATGTGTGATATGAGTTACCGTCAGTGCTACACAGGCTAACCTATTTGCACTTGAATGGAGAATAAAACAAATTTGGTTGTGTACTGTAGATAAAAGAAAGATCATTTAGGCTTGTTAATATCACCACGTAAAATACGTTGCACAAACACTATTAGATGTCTGTTCACAGAGTTCCTGAACTACTAAAATGGAAAATCAAATTAAAACGACTCAGTTAGGACGATTTGTTTTACAGCATCTAGTAAAAGAATTTCGACTTCTAGCTGACTGAATAAACAGCAGTGTGTTTCACATCTCTGAGCTCCAGCTCCAGTTGTCTCTGACTCACCTGGTGTGAGCTCGAGACGACCTGTGTATCTTAACAGGGCGTAAGACCCGATCATGGTCCAGACACCGAGAGCGTAAAGTGCAGCCATTCTAGTGTTCCACTTCTGCGCATCTTTTATATTCATGGCTGCAGTCTGCTCCAATAAACAGCCTCGTTTGTCTCCTTCACAGAGGTTTGGATGTCTTCTGCTACTGTATTTAGGGTGCCGCCATGACAGTTAACCCGGAAGTACAACGGATACTACAAGAACTTCCGGTTGAGAGTTTTTCTTTTGTCATTAGGAGGGGAAATATATTTTAATTGATGCACGTCATGTGTTAACTTGACAAAGACACATTTTTATATATATTTTTTAAATATTATATTTTTATAAAAAGAAAAAAAAGAAACATTAAAGCCATCAGTCCAAACTAAAAACACGTGTTATTACTACAAAATCAGTGATGCTACACTAAAGAAGCGTAGACAACACAAAAGAGAAAACAAAGGTTTTTCGTCTTTATTGAGAACATGATAAGAACAAACAAACAAAGCAGGTTTTCATGTCCTTTTTTTTTTTTAAATCAAAAATTGATGTCTCAGACTGATCAACACCACCACAGCTTTGAAATGCAAATCTTCATTTATTTATTTATTTATTTAT